CTTCTGACTGCCATAGCCATGAGAAAATAAAGCCCATCCTGTTCTGCTAGCCAGTGTGCTGGACTTTGTTACAACAGCCAGGGGAAACTAATACACATTGTTTCTTTCCTTCTCATTTTCTCATGTTTCCCAGGCTGGCCTTGACTGACTGCAGCTGAGGATGACATTGAACTTCTGATTCTCCTGCCTCTACTTTCTGAGTGCTGAGATTCCAGGCATGCACCACCACAGGGGGTGTTTATTCAATGCTGGGGGGTCGGGGTGGGGGGGGTGGATCCAAGGCTTCATGCATGCTAGGCAAGCACTCTACCAACTGAACTTTATCACCAGCCCTGTATAGCATTTTAACAACTAATTCTTCTCTTAGTGAATTCCAGAAAGTTGGACGGGTGGTTACATTGGAGAGGTATAAAGTGTCGGCACTATCTTGAAAGCCACAGCATTAAATGTGCCAATTCTGCCACAGTTTACAACTCCCAGAAAGTGAGTAAAGAATTCTATCCCACTTTACTAGTGAGCAAAATAAGCCCACATAGATGTGTAAGGATATCAGACATTGGTGTGTATTAGAGTATATCACAGATACTGCATTTAAAATTATTTATTTATTGGGGACTGGAGAGATGGCTCAGCCATTAAAAAGCACTGACTGCTCTTGCAAAGGAACCAGGTTTGATTCCCAGCACCTACATGGCAGCTAACAACTATCCTTGACTCCAGTGCCAGGGGAATTGGACACTCTCTTCTCTCCTCCATGGTCATTGCACGAGACGGGTGTACTTACATACATACATGCAGGCTAAACACTCATAAAAAATGAAAATAAATTATTTAAATTTTTTTATTTTATTTATTTATTTTTATTTTATATGTATGAGTATATTGCCTACATGTATGTATGTAAGGGTACCTGTCTTGTGCAATGCCCAGGGAGGCCAGAAAAGGACGTCGAATCCCCTGGAACTGGAGTCAGGTATGCTTGTTAGCCACCATGTGGGTACTGGGAACCAAACTTGGGTCTTCTAAACTGCTGAGTCATCTCTCCAGCTCCAAAATATGGCATTTTAAACTGGAAACTACTTTTTACCAAAGATGGAATTAGACTAAAATGTGACAGACACACACCCCACCCCACCCTTTTTTTTTTTTTTTTTTTTTTTTTTTTAGACAATTTCCCTGTAGGCACAGCTGGCCTGGAACTCACTATGGAGACCAGGCTGGCCTCCATCTCACAGAGATCCATCTGCCTTTGCCTCCCAAGTGCTGGGATTAAGGGAGTATGCCACCATTAGCATTCATCAAAATTATTTTGCAAAGAAGTAGAACTTGAAACACAGGAAAAGAGGCTAGAGAGACAGTTCAGTGGGTAAAAGCATTTGGGCCCAAGTCTGAGAACCTGAATTCTATCCCTGGAACCCACATGCAAGGACAGAACCAACTCCTAAAAGTTGCCCTCTGATCTCCACATGAGGGCTCTGACACATGGCAACACACACACTAGTGATATTAATAATTAATAATAACTAAAATTTTTAATTTGTAATAGGAAAAGGAACCCAATGATTACTAATGCCACATTTCTAAAATGTGTTAACAGATTATATATCGGTAGTTAGAAATAGATGTTCACATTTGGAATAATAATGTCGTTCTTCTTGTTTGATAGCCATCTACATGTCTCCTATGTTTGATAATTCTTTGACTTAAGTTTAGATTTGGGGAACATAAAAGGACCTGACATTTTCTCCACCCCTATTACATACGAAGAAGCAGAGAATACCATTCTCTGGGGCAACCCTGCCAGGCCTCTTGCCCAGCCTGCCATCAGGCTGTTGCTCAAGGCACAGGGCATTAACGCAGGGGCAGGTTTTTCCACCATACACAATCTCTGGGAGCCATGGCCCTAGGGCAGCTGTAAAACCCACGTGTTAAAATAACTCAGATTGCTTGTGATAAACTGAGTAAACAAATTACAATAGAGCAACTATACAGCCACAGAACTCTGACCCACAGAAGCAAAGAAACACAGTTGCGGGTGGTGACCAGCTCTGAACAGTCAGAATTTACTCAATGGCTGATGACGTCTTTATTTTTGCCTCTACTTCCTACCTGGATGAACCAGAGAACACCAGGTTTGCTCTCCAAACCCATTTCTAGCTGTCCTTCCAAGTCCCCAAGTCAATCACACAGATGCTCCATTTCTAATCATTCTTTCCCCAGCTTCCTCAAGATGACCTCCAATCAGTCAGGGTATCCCTGATGCCATCCTATACCCAGCCCCAAAGCATTACCTTCTGTCTCCGAAAGTTCTGAATCTGTCCCGCATTTGTTCTCAAATGGTGGTCAGCACTTATTCTCACCTGCGAATGACTATTTTGAACACTGGGGTTATAACCATTTGAGAACTTCTAGGCCTTCTGCTTGAAAGAAAAGAGCTTCTACTGCTTCAAAAAATGTAAATACAAATTTTAAAAATTGATATTTTAGGGGCTGGACAGATGGCTCAGCAGTTAAGAACACTGCTCTTCCAGAGGACCCAGGTTTGATTTCTAGAATTAACATGGTGGCTAACCATCCATAACTCCAGTTCCAGGGAATCCAACACCCTCTTCTGACCTCTAAGGGTATTGCAGGACACAAGCACACTTACATACATGCAGGCAATACATTCATACACATAAAATAAAGATAATAAAATATTTTCTTAAATTGGTATTTTGCTGGGCTTGGTGGCACATGCCTTTAATACTAGCGCTCAGGATGCAGAGGCAGGCGGATCTCTGTGAGTTCAAGGCCAGCCTGGTCTACATAGTGAGTTCCAGGACAGCTGGGGCTACAGGGAGACGCTGTCTCAAGAAGACCACAAAACAAACAAAAAAAATTAACTTTAAAAAAAATTTGATATTTTAAGACATCTGAAACCTGGCGTAGTGGCATAGCCCTACGAGAGTGGCATAGCTGCTCGAGAGACTGAGGCAGGAGGATCATAAGTTCAAGTTCAGCCTGGACAACATAGTGAGACCCTCTCAAAATTTAAAAAGAGGTGGGGTAGAGTGGGGTGAAAATATAACTCAGTAGTCTGAGCACTTACCTAGCATGCACAAGGGTTCTATCTCTAGTAGGTGCAATGACAGCAACGGAATTTATTTGAGCCAAATGTACTGGCCATACTTTTAACCCCAGCACCCCATAGGCTGAGGCAGGAGATTTTGAGTCTGAGGTCAAGCTGGGCTACACATAGTAAGACTCTCAAAAACTAAAATAAAATAAACAATAAAACAATGTTTAGAAAGATTGACAGTTTCTCTTTGTTGTCTTTAAATTGAGACACAAAAATTGACTTCAATTTCCCTTTTCAGTAAAAGTTTACACATTGCCACAATAAGTTCATTTTTAAATGTATTTGTTTTTATTTATGTGTATGTATGTGTATGCAGATGCTCAGCGAGGCCAGAAGAAGGTGCTGGATCCTGGGGAGCTGAAGTTATAGGCAGTTATGAGCCTTGATATATGTGTTGGGAATCTATCTGGGTCCTCTGGAAGAGAAGGAAGCACTTTTAACAGCTCAGCCATCTCTCCATTTTCATGAATAAATGAATGAATTGATGGATGTGGAGCCAGGCTTGGTGGTGCTCACCTTTAACCCCAACACTGGGAGGAGGGGGGCGGGGGACAGGAGGAGGATCTCTGTGAGATTGAGGCTGACCTGGTCTGGTCTACATAGCAGGTTCCAGGTCAGCTGGGGCTACAGGGAGACCTGGTCTCGAAACAAGTCTAGAAAAGGGTTGCAGAGATGATAAGAATGTTTATTTTCTATTTTTCTAAGATAAATATGAATTTAAGAATCTTTTTCAAAACTTTTTTTTAATTTTAAATTTTGTGTGTGTGTGTTCATGCCAACAAGGCACATGTTGTCAAAGGACAGCTTCCAGTAGTTGGTTCTCTCCCCCACCATGTGGGTCCCTGGGCTCCTTCAGGTCTTTGGGCTTGGCTGCAGGCTCCTTTAACCACTGAGCCAGTTTATCAGAACGGAATATGTTTCTTATACGACTGAAAAATTAAGAATGCTTCTGAATTATTTTCCTTGAATCCTTACTATATGTTTATTTTTCTCCATCTAAATAATTTCTTCAAGCTTCACAACTACAGCCTTTAAATGAAATATTTAAGTAAGACGAATCTGGGAAGAGGAAACTGAGGGTGAATAGGCTCAAGGGTACATTGTATACATTATGAAATTGTCACAGAATAAATAAAATATTCAAAAGTATTATAAAAGTGAATTTATTAAATTCCAGGAGAAGCGTTTGAAGACAGGAAGACAATTCGTAACGCGAAGTAGGGCATACAAACAGCTTTTATCATCTCAACAGCTTTGCTTTTTACTTAAGCCTTTTTTTCCGCCCTGTAAATAATTTCTAGCGGACTTGAAAGGCTTGTTAAGAAGGAATCCCTGTACAGGGAAGGCTGGAAGGAGAGCGTTAGAGCCTCTGCGGAGACCCCCTCTGGGTCCCCTTCCTTATCAGGGTTTGGACTTGCCCACAGCCTCATCTTGTTAGGTTGCTTGTCTCCATCCCCCAGATTCTTCGAAAATCCGTGGAAGCCCATCCTGACCCCTGGGAGATCGCCTCTGTCCTCGGACTGTGTATTCTTCCACTTGGTCCCAGCTTTGTCGTGAGTTAAACAGAAACCACTAGATTGTGCACAATCTCCGCTCTTCAGATTTTAACCCCAAACTCTGACTAAAGGAAAAGTAGGGCTGGGCTAGAAATATACACAGAACCCGCTGCAGCCGGTTTCTCCTAAGCCCAGCGCCTTTAATGGCAGCGCACCTCCAGGACGCGACCCTCCAGGGAGGATGCCAGCCTCACTCAGCCCAGAGAGGGGGTCCCGGGAAGCAGCGCGCCCCGCCCGTACCAGGTTAGGACCCAGAGGCGTCACGCGCTTGGGTTCCCCACAGGCCCCGCCCTGCGGCCGGCACAGCCAATCCCAGCGCGCTGGCCGGCAGCTGGGCGGGCTGGACAGGACCGCGGCCGGGGAGGCTTTAAAGCCCGAGTCCGGCGAAGGTCTGCCAGATTCTGGAACCTCGGCTACCTCCTGGGAGTCGCGTCCGCGGAGTGCGCGTGCGCAGCTGGCCGCCCCAGGTGAGGACCCCAGCGGGTCCAGGCGCTGCGTTAGCCGGGGCTGCGGGAGGAAGAGAGAGCGTGCGGGGCCGGGGACCACAGCATCTGCAGCCCGGGTTGGGGTCGGGGAGGGCGGCAGGGGACTGCAGCGCCGGCCGGGACCTCTCGGCCTCCCCGGGTCGGCAGGCCCGGCTTCGGGAGCGGGATCGTCGTCAGGCCGCGCGGTCTCGGGGCCTAGAGGGACTGGCACGGGCAGCTGGACCCTTGCACGCTGAGTCTCCGGGTCCGCGGCTCCCCGTGCCGCCATAACACCAGCTGGCGAGGGCGGAGCGGGCAGTACGCCCCCGGACCAGGCCCCTGAGTCTAACCTGGATCACCGAGGGTCAAGGCACCGCGAGAGCTTCAGGAAGGTCGGATTCCGACCCATCCCGCCAGCAATGCATTAAAGTGTGTGAGGTGGCATCCTAACTTTTAGAGACCCCTGTGTCCTACTTGGGGTGTTATGACTTCTTAGTGAAGTTTTACCTGAGAGACCCCAGTACTGTCAGTAAATGACCAACCACTTTCTTTTTTCTTAGTTGCTGGCTTAAGATTCTGAACCATACAATTTTCTAGGAGACCTACCAAGTCTGTATAGCACAGCACTACAATAATGGAAAAGTGTTTTAAGTGTTTATACCTTTTTCTTTTTTTAAGATGTTGTAGTCCTGGCTGGCCTCGAACTCGCAGATCCACGGGCCGCTACCTCCAGAGTGCTGGGATGAAAGGCGCGTGTTACCACTCCGGGCTCAACTAACTTTAAAAAAAAAAATTAATTCCTTGCTTGTTTCCACTTACACCCACATGTGGTGATGTTTCTACTCTGTTAAGGTAGCTTTAACCATTTAAAGGAATTGTTTTGCAGTCTGGTTGATGGCTTATCCCTGGAATCCCAGCCCTTGCCTGTGAGTTATACAAGACCCTCATCAGATCCCTCATTTCATTTCTTTTTCTTCCTAGGTTTTAGAACCATGAATCTTTCGCTCTTCCTGGCAGCCCTCTGCTTGGGAGCAGCCTTGGCTACTCCAAAATTTGATCAAACATTTGATGCACAATGGCACCAGTGGAAGTCCACACACAGGAGACTGTATGGCACGGTTGGTAACATTTAAGGTCCTACAGAGAATGCCTTCCTTGCTGTTGGAAGTTCTAGCCGGAGAGTAGCTTCTAAAACCCAGCTGTTAACAAGGCCTAGCCTAATCACACCCATTGAGCACAGTGTAGCAAACATCCCTGTTGTCACTGGGCAAGGGGAATGTCTTTCTGACTTATGGCATCTGTGACCCAGGGCTCCTCTTCATCTGGGATGGTAGATCCACTTTGTGATGAGGGCTGAACTGGTTTTGGGTTTTTGTGGTTTCTTTGGTTTGGTTTTTGTTGTTGTTGTTGTTGTTTTTTATTTTGTTTTTATGGTTTTAGTTTGAGACAGGGTCTCACTATGCCTATAGTTCTGGCTGACCTGGAATTCAGAGATTGCATAGAGAGCCACCTGCCTCTCTGTGCACGATCCCAGGATCAATAGCATGATCCTGGTTATTGAAATTTTAGTAGAAATAAACTGGCAGTTCTCTTTGCCTCTAGAATGAGGAAGAGTGGAGGAGAGCAGTGTGGGAGAAGAATATGAAAATGATTGAACTTCACAATGGAGAGTACAGCGAGGGGAAGCATGGCTTCACCATGGAAATGAACGCCTTCGGAGACATGGTGAGTGACGGTGCCTTGCTGTGCTTCCTCACCTTGGTTTTATTTTTTATTTATTTTTTTTATGTGTATGAGTGTATTGCCTACATGTATGTGAGTGCACCCGTGTCGTGCAGTGCTGTGGAGGTCAGAAGAGGGCTTTGGATTCCCCTGGAACTGGAGTTAAGGACAGTTTGTAGCCACCGTGTGGGTGCTGGGAATCAAACCCAGGTCCTCTACAAGAGCAGTCAGTGCTCTTAAACGCCGAGCCATCTCTCCAGCCCCCTTGGTTTTATTTTTACAAATTAATCTCTTGCATTTTCAACTTTGTGATTTTCTTTTGTTTTGTTTGCTTTGTTTTTGTTTTTCTTTACGTGTCCTTGAAGACCAATGAAGAGTTCAGGCAGGTGATGAACGGCTATCAACACCAGAAGCACAAGAAGGGGAAAGTGTTTCAGGAGCCTCTGATGCTTCAGAGCCCCAAGTCTGTGGACTGGAGAGAGAAGGGCTGTGTGACGCCTGTGAAGAATCAGGTATGACAGCTGGGAGATAGCTCATCGAGGAAGTGCTTGCCACACAAGCATGAGGGCCTAAGTTGGATCCCCAGAGCCTGTGCAAGAAAAGGCTGGTGTGGTATAATCTCAACATCTGGGAGGCAAGACAGGTTCCAGGGCCTTGATGGCCTGACAGCCAAATAAATCAGTGAGTTCCAGGTAAAAGTGAGAACCTGTCTCAAAAAACAAGGCAGACAGTGACTGAGGAACAGCATCCAAAGTTGACCTCTGGCCTCTACATACACCTACACCAGTATACATGTGTAACAGCATACACACAAGCACATATATACACATATACCCCTATCCCCCCAAAAGAATCGGGTATGACCATGTCTGATTTACACTTCTACAGAAAAGCCAGGAAGAATTTAGCATGTTTGCTTTGGTATATTGTAGCATGACATGAAATTCTCTCTTTATTATTTGACAAATTCATACACCCAACCCCCCATCCCCCTTGTCCACACCAACCCTCCTTATCCCACTATCATGCCTTATTTTGTGGCTGAGTTTAATCAGCCATCTTGCCTTCGTGGGCATAGGTGTTTAGCAGCCATCCACTGAAGTATGGGCTGCTCACCAGTGGCTATACCACTGAAAACAATAAACAACTCCCCCTCCCCCAGCAGCCATCAACTGTGGGGTTGTTCCTCCCGGAGCAGCCAGGTGCTGTGAGCAGCTTCAACATACCCCTGTCACTTTGGGGCTGGCCTTAATCTCTCAAGTGCTAGGATTACAGGCATGTACTGCCACACCCAGCTTCCTGTTTACTAATTTTTAAGAGTATGCATATATAAAACCTGTTGGCATTCTTTGTCTTGTAAACAGGTCAACTTTTTTCTCTTTTCAGGGCCAGTGTGGTTCTTGTTGGGCTTTTAGTGCAACTGGGGCACTGGAAGGACAGATGTACCTTAAGAATGGCAAATTGGTCTCACTGAGTGAGCAGAACCTTGTAGATTGTTCTCAGGCTCAAGGCAATCAGGGCTGCAATGGTGGCCTGATGGATTATGCCTTCCAGTACATTAAAGACAACGGAGGCCTGGACTCAGAAGATTCCTATCCTTATGAAGCAAAGGTAAAACAAAAAGCCTTTGTTTCTTACCATTCCAGCTGTTTTCAGAAAGTGGAACATTTGCAGAGATAAGTTTTCAGAATTCATATATTAGATGATAGAATATTTGGCAGTATTATCAAATCATAGCCTTTGCATAGTTCTTTGAACTATTCCTGCTTATATAGCATAGAGAGTATGACCCATTCTGTATCCAGTTGGACAAAACCTGAGGGGTCTCACTGAGGAATTGTCTACTTTTAAGTTTCAAATCAATTAACAGCATTCTAGTCATTTAATAATTTATAAGTTCTGACTTAACATCATGAGCTACAAATTGCTGAGTATTTTGTTTCTAGAACTAATGTTCCAAGAGAGGCAAATGGTTGTGATCAAGTCTCTCTCCCCTCTTTGAACTTTGAAAGGATGACTCCTGTAAGTACAAGCCTGAGTTTGCTGTGGCTAACGACACTGGGTTTGTGGACATCCCTCAGCGGGAGAAGGCCCTCATGAAGGCTGTGGCGACTGTGGGGCCCATCTCAGCCGCGATTGATGCAGGCCACGCATCCTTCCAGTTCTATAAGAGAGGTAATTGTCACAGTTCGAGCCACCTGCTTTCTAGGACTGTTAGGATCTTGAGTGACTTTAATGTAGAGATGTTTCCATTTGACTAATTAGGCATTTTCTCATGGTTATAAACTCTTCACAAATACATTTTTAAAGAGTTATATTTAATTAGTGTATGTGTGGGATCTGCAAGAGAGTTTTGTGCATGTGGGTGTAGATATCTGTAAATGCTTCAGATCCCCTGGAGCTGGAGTTTCAGGAGGCTGTGAGCCACCCAGTGTGGGTTCTGGGAACTGAACTTGGGTTCTCTGCAAGCAGTATGTGCTCTTAACTGCTGAGCCATCTCTTCAGACATTAAAAAAAAATTCATTGCATTTATTTTGGTGATCGAGTACATGTGTGCCAGGGTATATATGTGGGGATCAGAGGACAACTTTCAGGAGTCAGTACTCCTCCTACTGTGTGGGACCCAGAAGTCAAACTCATGTTGTCAGGTTTGGCAAGCAATTTTACCTGCTGAGTAGGTTTAATACCGTTTAAATATTTTGAATCACTCTGTAAATAGAACCCAATTTACCTAAGTCTTCTGATTGCTGAATCTTTTTTCCCAAAAAAATGTTTAGTGTTAACGACTCAGACACTGAGCAACCCTGTGGCTCAAGCATGGGCTGGGGGTGGGTTGCAAAGAAAGGCTTTCTTTGGGAGATTGTGGTTACAACTGGTATGTTTGCTAGAAGATGGGGCCTAAATCACCTTAAGCTTTAAAACAAATACTTGGTTTTGGGAAAATTTGGGAGACTAAGGATGTAGCTCAGCAGAGTGCTTGCCCAGGGAGCATGAAACCCTGGGTTCGATTCTTAACACCACATGAACCAGGCATGGTGGTACATGTCTGTAATCTCAACACTCAGGAGGTAGAAGCAGGAGGATTATGAGTTCAAAACCAGCTTTGATGATGTAGCAAGTTCAGACCCTATCTCAAACTATTTTTTAAAATAAATGTCTTGGACTTGAAATTTTTTCTGGTGAGTATAAGTGGGGGATTCCTTTCTATTACCCATTACTATTTTTTTTTACTAATATCTTCCACTGTATCTGGACTCTATGGCAGGATGAATTTTGAGATGCTGTCCTACTCTGGAGTGGGTCACTGTCCTGTGGCAATTGGAACCTCTCATCCAGTGTTGGTTTTCCTCTCCAGGCATTTACTATGAACCAGACTGCAGCAGCAAGGACCTGGATCATGGAATTCTAGTGGTTGGCTATGGATTTGAAGGATCAGATTCAAATAACAACAAATATTGGCTTGTCAAGAACAGGTATGACTCTGAATAAAATATTTCAAATTGTAATGGGAATTCTTGTTTGAGATTAGTATTTATTAGTATTCAATTTTAGAATCCCAAAAGTGAAGTGTTCTTGTTTGATTATAAGAGTCTATACTAAGTGTGTTGGGACGATTCATACGGATTTGTAACATTGCATTTCTAAGTTCTGAAATTCTTCATAGTTTGCAATCCCTCGGCCCCAGAGGTTTTAGCTGAAGACGGGGAACTGTGGATTTGCATGCTGCACACTTTTTTTTTTCTCCAGTTTTCAACGTGATACAGTTAGCAGAAACTTCAGCCTGTGTGCCTCTTTGTGTCATCTGATGCTGGGCCTTTGCATTTTTTTCTCAGCTCTCAGTAGCCTTAAAGCCTATCAGGATTAGTTTTCATTATCTTTAGTTGATATAATGTGACTGTCGTGGTGCTGTTCTGCCTTGATTTCTTCTCAAAAGTTGAGGAAGGCAGCATATAGTGGTGTGCCTTTAATTCTAGCACACAGGAAACAGAGACACCTGGATCTCTGAGATCCAGGCCAACCTAGTTTACGTAGTAAGTTCCAGGTCCTGTGGCTACAAAGAGACCCTGTCTCAAGACCAAAAAGAAAAGTTGAGGGGGTGCTGAGGATATAGCTCAGTTGGTAAAGTGCTTGTATTTATTTGGAACATGCTATGGTGTGCATGTGGAGGTCAGGGGACAGTTTGTGGGAGTCAGTTCTCTCTTTCCACTGGTTTTCCCTGGTACCAGATAAAACCCAGTGTGGTACATGCCTATAATCCCAGCACTGGTGGAAGCAGGCAGATCAGGGGTTCAAACTTATCATCCACTACATAGTAAATTTGAGGCCAGTCTTGGCTACAGAAGACCCTGCCTCATACATGCAGGCAAAAACTCGTACACATAAAATAAAAATAAATAAATTTTAAAATAATGAGGGACTGGGGAGATGACTCCATGGGGAAAGTGCTTGCTACTCAGTCATGAGGACCTGAGTTTGGATCCCAGCCCCCACATAAAAGCCATGCACCACAACACACCTGTAACCCCAGTGCCCCAGTTGGGGAAGGGGTTGCTTGATGAACCTGGAGGTTCCAGGTCCAGAGAGAGATCCTGTCTCAAAATAGGGAGAGTGATAGAGGAAGACACTGGTGTCAACCCGGCCTCCACGTGTGCACCCACACAAAGCATGCATACACACACAGAGTTTAAGACCCACAGGAATGGGTGCATCTATGTGTCTTTATGTGAGGTCTGATAGCACTTAGGGTAGGTGGTTAGTGCAGTGGTTCTCTTTTTAAGCATTAACTAATTTTTCTTGAACCTCTTTCAGCTGGGGTCCCGAATGGGGTGCAGAAGGCTATGTCAAAATAGCCAAGGATAGGAATAATCACTGTGGAATTGCCACTGCGGCCAGCTACCCCACCGTGTGAGCTGACAATGGTAATAAAGGCCTTGGACAGCATGTCTGGAGGGACTTTATCTTAAAACTGACCAAACCCTTATTGAGACAAAGTACTTGAATCATTGAGGATCCAAGTTATAATTTGAATTCTGTGACATTTTTACAAGGGTAAAATGTTTCCACTACTTCTAACTTCTGTTATAAACAGCTTTATAATACTGAAGAATATTGCTTAATTCTGAGACTGGAATTTTCATTTTATAAAAGAATGTATAAAGCTTTCTTTACCTTTTAAAAATAAACTTTTGTTCAGTATGTACAAGTGGGACTTCGGTGTAATATGTTGACTTTATGTAGTCAGAAAATGTTTGAGTAGTGGCGCATACCTTCAATCCCAGCAGTGGGGAGGCAGAGGCAGGTGGATCTCTGTAAGATGCAGGCCAGCCTGGTCTACATATCAAGTTTCAGGCCAAAAGTGTTTGGGTCTAGCACTGGCTCAGGGTATCCATGATAACGGCAGGAGAAAGGTGAAGGTGCTGGGGTCTTCTGGCTTTTCTAATTGAAAGTACACAGATTTGACCTTGGCTTCCCATTGACTATGTATAACCTAATACTGCTTACAGACTTTTTAAATTGTTTGAATTGTGTATAGTGTGTGTGAGTGCAGCATGTTCATGCCCCAGAGCATGTATGGAAATCAGTTCTGCCCTTCTGCCTTCCACTGTGGACTCTGGGGATTGAAGTCAAGTCATCAGGCTTGTACAGAAAGCACTTTTAGCTGCTGAGGCATCTCACTGGTGCATTTTTTTTAATTAGGGAATGGAGCATGCCATAGAGGGTATGTATAGAGGTCAGAGGACAATTCGTAGGAGTCATTTCTTCCCTTCCACCATGTTGGTCCCAGGGATGGAATTCCAGTTCTTAGGCTTGGTGGCAGGTGCCTTTACATGCTGGGCCATCTCAGCAGCCCTACTAGATTTATTTTTAAATGACAGATAATTAACATATGTACAATCACAGTCTCTCAACCTCCTGAGTGTTAAGATTACAGACTGTACTGACATACTTAGTTCCAAATCTCAAATCTGGGAAAATCTAGCAAATCCGACAGGATGAGGGTAAATTGAGTAGAAATGCCAGGTATGGTGGCTGACACCTTTAATCAGGAGGCAGAGGCAGGCAGATCTCTATGAGCTCAAAGCCAGCCTGGTCTACAAAGTAACCAGGCCAGCTGGGGCTACAGGGAGACCCTGACTTAAAAAGAGGTGGCTATGTGTGTGATGAAACTGCAGTACTGTCAGAAGTCTTTCTACCTGCAGGTGACAGCCATACACTGCTTTGTAGTTCTAAGAAAAACCAGGCCCAGGTGGGCTGCTGGGTATTTTGGTTTTGTTGTGTCATCTCTGATAAGAGTCCACATAACTGCCTGGGGAAACCTTGAGCCACCCAGGATTAGTAAAAACACATTGAACAGTTGTGATTAACACACCTAGGTATTTGGTAATAGATAGAGAAATGTATTCAAGGTCCCCAGGAGATCAGGAAAGACTATAAAAGTCCTTTGGCTTTGAGAAATCATAAGTAAAGGGCAGGCCAGAAGTCACTAGACCAAACAGACTTCAGTAACTTAATCCCTGACTTAAAAATAAATTTGGAAGGGAACAAAACAGTCTAAGCAGAGTTACAGGAATAGTGATAAAGTACAAATAAAATGGTATTTATTTTCTTGTTTATGAGAAGGAAATCCTACCAAAGTTGTGTGAGAATTGGGGGTAAGTATTGAGATTGCCCCACAGCATCGGTCTTTAGCAGGAAAACAAGTTGTAAAAATATTTTTGCATTCTTTAGGCCAAATGCAGATATACGTGTATGTGTAAAGCCTAGGTTATGTCTATTTTCAGTCAAATAAGGAAATGCAAGCAATAAGCTGGTAAAATACTTAATTGAACCAGTCTATTGTGAAGATGAGAGATGGGGAATAGGAATGAGATTCACATTCCTTGGGGTGGCCTTTGCCCACGGCCCTTTCTCTCTCCTGAAAAAAGGTTTAACAGTCTTTAGTACGTATTTATTGTATTGGGGGTAGCACGTGGATTCTATGGTACCTGTATGGAAGTCAGAGGAAAACCTGTAGAGGTCAATTCTTCCACCATGTGGGCCTTGAGGATAGGACTCTCAGGTCATCAGGCTTAGCAACAAGTGCTTCCAACTGCCAAGCCATCTTGCTGACTCTACATTCTTATTTATTTTGTTGGGGGCAGGGTCATGTGTGTGTGGAGGTCAGAGGGCAGCTTCATGCTGAGCCATCTCGTTGACCCAGAAAGTTTCTTTATCTAGCTCTGCAATATCAGTCTAATTCAACATTGTCTGTGGACTGCTTGGGCTCCAGGGAAACTTAAAGCACTAAGTTGAATGAACCTCTGATGACTTATTTAAATACAGTGTCAAGACTGTCAAAGAGAACCCTCAGATGTCCAAGTATAATGGAGATACTTAAAGGTTTTGTAATTTTCAAAGATGCTGATGGACTTGAAAAATCAATTGGGAAGCATAAACTTATTTTCCTCTTCTTCAGTGTCTAAAATATTACCCTAGTTAAATTGCAGTGGAACTAGGGGAAGATGAGAGATGACTGAGCAAATCAAGCTGGGGTGCTCAGGTCACAAGGTAAGCTAGAACACCAAGTATCTTACCAGAGGGGAGGGATCCAGAAACTTCCACAGCAGAACATATGTTCTGCCTGTGAAATTTGAATTTTTTATTACATTTACTGGGGTGGCAGGGGGCATGAGTGACAGAGGACAGGAATTGGTTCTCTCTTTCCAACATGTAGGCTCCAGATCAGGTTGACTGGCTTGGCAGCAAACACCTTTACCCACTGAGCTCTCTCACCTTACCAGCCCCCAAACTAAGATCTTAAAAAGAACAAACAGTGTATTTCCCAGAGCACTACACAGTAATCACTGAAATACACAAAGGCTCATTCTCTCTCCAGCACACTTTTTTTTGTTTGTTTTTGAGACAGGGTCTCCCTATAGCCCCAGCTGGCCTAGAACTTACTATGTAGCCCAGGCTGGCCTTGATTTCATAGAGATCCATCTGCCTCTGCCTCCTGAGTGCTGGGATTAAAGTGCTCCACACCCAGCTCTCTTCAGCACATTTTAAAACTTCATGTTATTTATTCATTGAAGTTCTGTTGAGCACCTAGACGACAGGGCTACACCACCTCTAGAGACTTAAGAATGAAGTTAAGGGGCTGGAGAGATGGCACAGTGGTAAGAGCACTGGCTGGCTGCTCTTGCAGAGGACCAGGGTTTTGAGTCCCAGCACCCACATGGCAGCTAACAACTGTCTGTAACTCCAGTTCCAGGGGCTCAGACACCCTCTTCTCACCTCTGCAGGTATTACATGACATGAGTACACCTACCTACATGCAGGCAATAACATTTAGACACATAAATTTAAAAAGAATTTTTTTGAAAAAAGAATGAAGTCAATAGTCATGGTTCCTCCCTGCCCACAGGAACCTTCATCTGTTACCATAGCCACTTGTTTGTAATCTCATTGGCTGACTGCTGGGGAAGCTGACAGGTACCTATAGACTCAAAACCTTGCCTGTGAGGTCACCCTTTGAAAATTCACATGGGATATAAACATCACGTTATTTGCCTGTTCAGAGAAGTCTTCCTACATACTTCCAGTTTTCCTTTTGCTCCTTCCAAGTTTGGGACCAGTCAGACCCTTGGCCACACACAGCCCATGAAATCAGTGTTTCGTCCTATCCGATCATTTCTCCTTACAAAGTGCATTACGAGGTACAGTGCTCAGGACCCCACCCAGCAGGGTTCTCTTCACCCTATGCTCCAGGGACATCCCAGAAAAGGGACAGCCACTGCCACTCTCAAGTATTGTTTGCATACAGCTCCAAGCCCTCCGAAGCAGCCTCAAGCTTTCTCATCAATTGATTATAGAGAGCTCTCCATAGTGCCATGGGTGTGGACTGGAGAGAAGGTAACAGGCCAGGACCATCAGCATTTAGGACACTTTCCCCATGTAATTTACCATGCCTTAAGAACCTGCTCAAACCCAACCATGAATACCAGTTCTGTTTGATGATGGAGTGTTGTTATTCAAGTTTTAGGTCATAGAGGATCAGTCAACACCCAGTTCATGATGGGCAGTTTGGGTCACACGGTAACTAGATGGCACATGGTTAAGTATTCAGTGCCTAAAGCCCAATCACAAAACAAAATGGCTGTGGAGATGGCTCAGTGAGTAAAACTATGTGCAGTGCAAAAGTGAAGACTGGAATCCAGATCCCCAAAACATATAAATAAAGCCAGGTACAGTAGCACATGTCTGTAAATCCCTGAGCTTGTATGACAGGATGAGAGGTGCAGACAGGAGAGTCCACAGAAACCTTCAGGCCAGGTGGCCTGATACACACACACAGCAGAGAACAAGAGACCCTACCTCAAACCAGGTGGAAGGCAAGGACTAGCATCCATGTCTGAGCTACAGAATGCATGCATCAGTACACACACAAAGATTTCAAAATTATCTGCACATGGCCTTTTCCCCAATCCTAAGGTCTGCACTGTGGCTCAGCCGTACAGCCCTGTCAATGCTCCATCTCCGTCTGTGTCCCTATGAGTCACTGACACTTGGATCTCCTGGGTCACATGACCAAAGTGGCAGAGCAGCACAGAGTGTAGCCTGAAGCTATTGCAAAGCACTCTCATCTGGCCCCTCTCAAAAGTCACAGCTTTGGTGGTTATTTTGGACATGGACCAGAGTGGCAGCCAGAATCCAAAGCGGCTCCCAAAGTGTTGGGCATCTTTTGTGGCTCAGAGTGACAGCCAGAATCCAAAGCGGCTCCCAAAGTGTTGGGCATCTTTTGTGGCTCAGAGTGACAGCCAGAATCCAAAGCGGCTCCCAAAGTGTTGGGCATCTTTTGTGGCTCAGAGTGACAGCCAGAATCCAAAGCGGCTCCCAAAGTGTTGGGCATCTTTTGTGGCTATAGGAGGGGATGGATGCACCATCCTAGCCTTCAGCTTAGAAGAGACATCTTAACATATGCCACATAACTGGACACATAGCAAGTAGTTTCACCTGACACACAAATGTCTCATGAAGTTACTACTTCTTACTCACTAGTTCCAATCAGCATAATGTCATCTGTGTCCTGGACTAGTGTGTCTAATGGAAGGGAAAGGCAATTAAGAGTTCTGAAGACTAAATTACAACATGGCAGGAAAGTGGATGCTCCTCTGAGGTAGGACAGTAAAGGTGTATTACTGACTTTGCCAACAGAGGAAAGACTGCTTT